TCACTCAGAACTCAGTTGTTAACAAAAGTTTCAACTTAAAATAAAATTTTAATCAATCACAATGAGGAAAATGCATGTTTTTAAATAAATGTTAAAAATAGTTCATATAATTACAAATTGAACAAAGAAAAATCGTTGATATCAGTTAAGAAATGCCTCTAATATAAAATAATTAAATATTGTTAATTTAAATGGCCGGGCAAACGCTCTTTACCGCGCCTTGCCGCTGTGACGTCACCCGCCGTTCTTCTGGTTGAGTGAAGCCAGATGCGTGTTTATTTTACACAGTTTGCTTTTAAACGCTGTTGAATCCGAGTCAAAATTTTAGTTATTTGTGTTAATTAATACATAATTAATAATTAGTGTATTTATAAATAGTAATGGATGAGCGAAAACAGAAAAAAATGGTGCAAGGCCATGAGAAGAGATCCTCTATTTCTCCGATTTATTGTTGTGAAGATCATTTTGATGTAAGATGTAAGTTCATATATTTATGTATATTGTCTTACATAGGTATATGAAATTTGAAACCCACAAAAAAAGTTGCATGGTTTTTCAAATACTCCCTTTTAAAAATAATTCTAGTTATATAGGGTGGCTCAAAAAAGTTGTTCCAGAAAATTGTAGGTATTTTTCGTGTATAATTTCCTATACCTATCTTCAACTGTTTACGAAATATTGACAGTTGAAAAGCGGTCATTTTAACACTTTGACAAGCTCTAAAATCTGAACCAAATGAGATCGGGAAAAATGGTTTACATATTCCTATCCTAGTTTTTCATAAGCTACCGAATGATACAACTTCGAATTTAAGCGGGACTTACAAAAGTTAAAGTTACTGTTATTAGATAGCTTATGAAAAACTAGAGTAGAAATGTGTAAACCTTTATCCTCGATCTCTCTTGACTTAGATTATAGAGCTTGTCAAAATGTCAAAGTAAAGTGGCCGCTTTTCAACTGTCAATATTTCGTAAACATTTGAAGATAGGTATAGGATATTATTCATGAAATATATCTAGAATATCTAGAAATTTCCGAAGAATCCAAAAATATATAGGGTGTTTCACTTAAAAAAAGTAACTTAATTTTGGCGTTTGCTTATGGAACACCTTGTATAATACGTTCATTACTGATAAAAAAATTCAATTTATTTCCTATAATTTCGTAAAAAAACAGTCTTTAAAAATAACAAGGGCAAGGGGGGTGTCAATATATAAAAAAATTCACAGTCCTTTACAGAGATGCAACCGGGGGGGCATTGAAAATGATGAATAAAAACGTAAAAATATGATTAGTGTTAATATGAGTGTATTACATACATATGTTTAAATAACGAACTTAACAAAAAACAACAGATTTAAAGATTCACTGAAAAAGTAGTAATGTTAACATTAAATAAAACATTATCAATAATAATTATGCGATCGCACCTATCCGTAAAACAAGCAAGCAAAAAAACCTCGAAAAAACAAAATAACATACAAAACATCAGGTTAACATGATGACAGATCATGATCAATGATCAGATAAAGAATTCTTACAGAAAGTTACACTTTACGATATATTTTTAACTGTTAAAGGCAAACCCCATTTAAACACAAAACTTTTAATACCTACTACTGTATCTAAAGACTTTTTTTAAATTACTAAATTCTTAGCCACGCTTCTGTTTTTCTTGGCTGTTGTGCGTCACGTCACAGATTAACAGGCCCACGTTTGCACCACAAGGCGATGCTGCAGACCACTAGGTAGACCGGTCGTAGAAATTTATGTTATACAACTTGTAGTCAATCTACACAAATATTATCAGAAACTTTTTTTCTTTTAAAATGTGTTCAGATTTTGTAAAAAGTATAAGTCAAAATCGCAAAACTTAAATTTGATATGAGTTTCTTAATTCGTTTTTAACTAATATAGTGGCGAATTACAAAAATTCCTTTTCAATGAAAATTAATGAGTTAAATAAAATAATTTAATAAATTATTCGCTTTTTCTCGCGACTACGTTCGCGTTACACCTCGAATCGTTCATGCATTGATTAAATGATTTTTTACTTCTTTATAGAGAGCTAGTGAGCATAGATGTTTTTATTTTTCAACTTTTTTATTTATTAAGAGCACTAATACTCTCTTTATAGGTTATTTTTTATTCTTTGAAGGATAATTGAGGAAGCTATATTTCGTTATGATGTCACTAAATAAACCCTTGTATAAAATTTTATACTGTCTGGTTTATAATGTTATAGTATTGCATTTTCGTACAGCAAACTTTCATTCCCTATTCTACTCCCTAAGGGTATAAATTTCATAAATTCGCTTTACCTTTGTGCCAATTTTTATGTGTATATTCCAGAGGTCACCAAGTTTTATATAAACTTTTACTAACTTTTACCCATTTGGTTGATGAATTTCAAAATTTCTTCTAATTCTTTTTGTAGGATTTCATTCTTCTAGACCAAATAGTAAGGAATTTTCATACAACAAACTGTTCCGAGATAATTTTACTCTAAGAGGACGAATTTCCTAAAACCAATCAGGAAAAATCCAAAACCTACCGTTATAGGAGGTATAAGATGATTAAACTTATATAATGACAACTACTTATCGGATAACAAATTAATTACTACTGTCAGCTATTTCAGCTACTGTCTAGGTAGAATATACCTAGAGTACCTACACCTACCTATGATGTAGGTAGATTAAAGCTTATTTTGACGTTACCTCTCACTTCGGTGTCACAAGCTGAATTTTTCAGGGATGGAAGTACAGTACATGATATGGGGACTTACCTTATTCCGAAAGTAGTACAAAATTAGACCGGGTAAAAGGGCACTATCATCAAAAATCGATATATTAATACCACCGTATAGAGAAAACAAATACTTATTTTTTGATCCATTACACAATAAAGTCTTCGTAGGGAGTAATTTTTTATAATTATTTACGAAAAAACATTTCCATTAGCGCTTATGACCAAAAAAAAACTTTAAACATGAATAATCATTTCAATCATGCGAAAATTTGGTTTAAAATAGATTTTTTAATATAACTTTCATTTAACGAAAACGAAGGCCTAAATGAAAAAAGAAACAATTTAAAAGTTTCGCTTATGTCTTGACAAGGTATCAAAGCAAACCCCATATTTTTTGCTTTTAAACTAATAAAGATATATCAATAAACAATTAGCGATGTAATGGTTTTTGCGGGCGCTGGCCGACTGCCGCCGCTGCGCCGAGATTTCCTATACCCTTGTATATATGACGTCATGGTGTGGGAAATGTAGCATTTTAATTCGATTTGGGCTCCCTTATATAGGATAACAGAAACATTTTCAATGTTAAAAAACTTTCTTTTTCACACTATGCTCTGGAGTTATTTTTCCATGTACTAAACAAATATTTTTGTCTCTTTTCACTTCTACATAACCTACAGCATTATCTCCATACGTGATCTGAAAAGTAAGTTTATAACATCAATATTTATAACTATAAAAGTTCGTAACAGTAGGTACCTACTTACACTTAAATATGCCTCAGTACTACAAAGAATAAATGTTACATACCTATCTGTTTTTCTTGCCTCGTAATTCAGCACCAATAAATTGGGAATTTGTATTTATAAGAGCAGCCAACATAAAAGCATCGACTTTTGGCAAGTTATCTGATTGTGCTTTTACAAAACCGGAATCTGCCATTACTTAAAAAATTCTCAGAACACACAACACGCACAAATAATAACTGCACACTAAAAGCATAAAAAGCTCCTTCAATCAACGCTAGAAGCAACAAAAATGTCTTAGTACACCACCTAAATACGTACATAAATGGAACACGTCTGGCTATGGTCTGGCTGCTTCTGGCCATCGCGGGTCGACGAGAACGGCGGGTGACGTCAGACCAATAGAATATCGTTTCAATTCGCGAGGCGTCGTTTGCGTTATCCATAGTATTTTAATGGCCCGTTTTATAAAATTGTGGTACTGCTTTCAAGAAAAAAGCTTTTTTGCATTTACACATACTTATTCTAATAAATTGAACAGTTTCTGGCGAAAAATAAAATATATGTATCTTCCTCATTGTTTATCTCCATCATTTACTGGATTAATAACACAGAAATTACAGCTCAATTACAAATAATTCATAATTATTTATAGAGATTTACAGTAATTTTGTTATATTTTACGAATATTCTCGTTGATTATTGGTTTGAAATAAATATGACAGTGTCCTCCAATGAAAATTCGAGTTACCAACTCTAAATTCTAATTCTGGAGCTGGCAAATGAGCTAGATTTTTTACCTAGACCGTTATTCAAAAGCCACAAACCTATCGATGGAAATATGCATGAAATCAAGGTTGGTACAGTCTTAAGTTTATTATAGTGATTTTCTTAGCCCCGTATGGCACAGATCGTTACCCAGTATTGCCACAAACTTAGCGTTATTATTAGCGTTTTTTAAATCGAATATAAATTTTTTACAAGCATTTTGATGAAGAAAATAAAAGTACTTTTTCCCCTCTGTATTTTATCTAAGAGTAATTGGTAAAAAAATATTAAGTGAAAACAAAGTTTTCAAGAATGTATCAATCGATATAAGTAATTAATAAGAAGTATAATTAAAATTCTTGTGTAGACAATATAATTATTTTTTTACGTTTTTTTAATTCGATTTTACTTTTTTTGTTTACATTAAAAACATTTATACATTATATAGCCTTGTACTCAAGACGTAATTAATTATATAAAAAATAACACTTGATTGTTCTTAATAGCCCTAATTACCAATTCAAATTGACACTAACCAAATATGTTTGTTTCGTACCCATTTTCACAAGACACATAAAACGATGCATAAACACACAAACAATCGATACGTAGATCATGAGTGTTGTGCAACAGAAAAAAAATATGTTTTAAAGTGGTATCCCTTATTTCAGTATTCGCTTATCGCATTGTTGTTTTCTTGCTTTGACTTAAGCCATGTTTTGTCTATGTTTATAGAAACCAAATCCACGAATTCGACAGCAAAAGAAAATGTTTTCCAAGAAGCCATGGACAAATTGCAGAAGGAAACTAACATGGACGAGTGGGTGCTGGTTACAATCTTGATCGGTAAGGAATGTTCAAAATATATAAATGTAATACAAATTTTAACAAAAAATACGTACAAAATGTCCCCGGATTGTCTTTAAAGTGGAAAAACTTTTTTATTATTGACATTTTCAGATACATTCTTCATAAAAAATTTGTTTGCTCCAAAATGCAGAATAAAACACTAAGTCACCCAATATAAAATCAAATCAAATCATTTATTGGATGTTAATAGATACAAGTATCCCTACACAAAGTCATATTTTGTAAAATGCAAAATTATAAAATAAGCACAATTATCAAACAGTAACTTAAAGTACACAAAAAAACAATAAATACACAATGTAAATGTTTTGACCTATAACCACGCTATAACCCTTCACTGCTTTCTAAAAAATCAGTAACACTAAAATAAGCCATATCAAGAAGGTAGCTTTTAATTGTCGTTTTAAATTGATGTTTTGGTAAATTTCTGACATTTTGAGATAATTTATTAAAGCATGCAGGAGCATAATGAAGGCTGGAGTTCCAAGATCTTCCGAGGCGCATATGAACAGGCTTTATATTTATTCTATTTCTGGTTGCATAATTGTGTTGTTCATCATGCGTAGTATATAGTTCTAGGTTATCCTTCACAAACACAAGACACTGGAGAATATAGCAACATGGAAGTGTCAGTATTCCCATTCTTTTGTAGGCGTTTTTGTATCTGCTTGATAACTTAAATTTGACAAAATTCTCAATGCTTTTCTTTGCAGTCCAAACAGTTTGTCAGCATGAGCTGAGTGACCCCAAACAAGTATTCCATAAGTAAGCACCGAGTGAATGAGAGCATGATAGGCAGCTCCTAACACATCACTCTCCACACACCTAGCTAATCGCCGAAATGCATACATGCCTATGGAAACCTTCCTTGCCACATAGTCTACGTGACTTTCAAGACTCAGTTTTGTGTCAAATTTTATTCCCAGAAATCGGATACTGCAGAAATCTATTTTATATTTTATTTTAAGAGAAAAAATAACTCTTTCTGTTTTAGTGTCATTCAGGCATAATCGGTTTGCCTGAAACCGATTATGCGTTGTCACCAACATTTAGCAAAATCGATTCAAAATCAGTTTGAATTTCTTCAGGGGATTTCCGAGCACATAAGATAGTAGTGTCATCGTCAGACAAAATCATATTATTCTGAAGTGTAGCCACGGGTAAATCATTAATGTAAATTAAAAACAATAAGGGTCCTAATACTGAGCCTTGCGGAACCCCATATTTTACAACACTCACATCAGAAAGCGTACCGTTGGCTAATGTTTGTTGAGATCGGTTTACAAGATAATCAGCCAATAATTTCGAACTCAAATTATTTACTCCATAATATGAAATTTTCTGTAATAGTATGTTGTGATCAACACAATCAAAGGCCTTGGTAAGGTCACAGAAGACCGAACCAACATAGTTACCGCTCTCAAAACCCTCAATTATATCTTCCATCAAACGAATGCAAGCCATTGTTGTAGATTTTCCTTTACGAAACCCAAACTGATTCTCTATGAACAAGTTATTAGATTCAAAGTAATGTGTTAACTGGTGTTTCAATAAATATTCAAAAATTTTTGAAAGTGTGGGTATTAAAGCTATAGGTCTATAATTATTCACACTTTCAGGATCACCTTTTTTAAATACTGGTACGATTTTGGAAATTTTTAAACAACTGGGATACGTACCGTCTCTTATACATCAATTAAATAATTTAGTTAGAGGATATATTAATAAATTTATTACTTTTTTAACTAGTGGAATGCTAATGTTATAAATATCTTTACTATGCTTATTTTTTAACGAATTTACGGCCTTTCGAGTTTCTATGAAAGTTACCACTCATAATTCTATATAAAGTTACGTCAATACACCAAACCACTTTTACTTCTAAACTCGACGTGCGTTTCGCTAACCATGTTGTTATCATCAGCAAATGGTTTAATAACAATCTTTAATCATCTGCTGATGATGCTAATATAGCGAAACCACACCGTCTATAGAGAACTAAAAAAAATGAAAGTATGGTTGAATTTTTTCTAAGCCTTAAAAATCGAAAGGTATTTCTATGTTAATATCGAGGTTAATATCATTTCGATTTCATTCTGTGGTAAATGCTTATTATTAATTTTAATTAACGTCATATTTTTTACTGATGTTAAAGTATCACATTTTAATATTTATCGTTGAGTAAAGATCATTTTTGTCACAGTACCTACTACAATACTTGACTGTCACTACAGAGTAAAAAACCTTTAAAAGAATTACTTCAAAAGCACACAATCACTCCTTTTGCCATTATAGGTGCTGGCTATAAAGAGCTTAACTTTAAAGGGAAACCCCGGGTATACGAACATTCAGATATTATACATTAATTGGTATTGCATGAATTTCAGTAGTTAACTCATCTAAAAAGTTTTTTTTTAACTGGAATAATAAATTATAATACAAGTTAGACCTTCTGAAGATGTCACAATATTTACTTTTTACCTATAGGCTTGGAGCACATTTCTGTTGAGTTTTAAAATTTCGACAGCCACGGTATGGCAGAAATCAGAACTTTCCGGCTATGTAATTCACGCAGTCCCGGTTATCGTTCGTGTTGATCCCATTGAAATAATATTAAAATCCTGGCTTTGTCATATATTTTGAGTATTTTAGTTTTTACTAATGCTGGAGAGTGCTATAAAACTCTAAAATTCTCAGATGTAACGCTGTTTCGAGTAGCAAAAATTAAGTGAAAAGGAACTGTGCAACGCATTATGTTGGGACAATTTCAAATGATAATTAAATTGCTGAAAAAAAATGTCAATACGAAAAGGATAGCAAAATTGCGTGGTTGTTGGTACAATAGCGCTCAATATAACTCTTCCGGAACAACATTTTACAATTTCTCAGCTTTATCACACCGATTTGTGCAAAAGCAAAAATGGATTTAGAAGCAAAACGGAAGAATAAGAGAGGGGAGGCGCCACAGCTGTTGCGAAAAGAGCCGCCCGCCATATTTGATTGTGGTACTTTTTGTAATTTGTGCATTTTTCTCAAAATTTAATGTTTTTCATCGATAATTTGAGTGTTTTCTATTACAAAAACCTTAAAAATCATAGTGTTCTGTGCTGTACGCAGTTGTAGGAGCAGGAAAGGTATCGACTCGAAGAAACTCACCGGCGCACGGTAGGGCCGATTGAAGAATCGTTGGCCAAAACCTTCAAAGATATATATGAATCAACCAAAAATATATAGAATTTAACAGTTTTTGCTTAATTGAATTTCTAGGTAGTCAATCTTCAAAGTTTTAGTTAATTAAATTATACTTCACGTATATACCCAGCATATTAGCTCATCAATATAATGTGAGAAAAAATACCCGGATGACAAAACTTTTACACTTTTGCTTTGCAAGCCATTTCGAATATTGTTGTCTTGTGGCATGTCTGTGTGTCAGTCTGTCTGTTTTTCGGTCTGTTTGATATATTTTTTTATCCGTATGTAACCAACAACTTTGATAAAAAAATAATTATTGTTTTTGGATTCTAGTTTTGAAGAAGTAAAAAAATAATTATTTTCAATCGTGGTCTCACATGTCTCAAAATGAGTAGTCGGCACGTAATCAAGAAAGTATGGGCTAGATTTTTCGAGTACCTATTACAGGCAAGCATCTAAAAATTAATTTCGGATAATGAGGGGGTTCCAAAAATTTTAATAACCATTTCGGGGGAAGGGTGGTTTTGGGCGCCGGAATTTTTTTTCTCCTTCTATTTTTGGATTGGAGCAACTAAAAGATTTGAAATTTAGCGTAATGTAATGTGTTAGGTTAGGTTAGTTAAAAATAATTTGTTTCAATGCTTAAATTTTTAAAATCGGTTCATTATTTTAGTACATATCATAGTTCGAATTTACGTGCGGATATTTTAAGTTAAGCCGCCATCTTGAAATTTTAAACTGTCATATTTAGACTAAAACGTAATATTTTTAAACATATTGCCTTACTTCAAATCTCCATGTTGTTCCATTAAAAAGATAAAAAAGGAGTGGGGACATTGTATATTATCTAAGCCTGGATCTAAGCATTAATTCAGTTAAAACCCACAAAATTTGTAGATTTGAAGTGGGGTGGGACTGAAGGGTCTTGGACCCTTGGACCCCCGAACTATTTGCTTGATTACAGGCGATTCATGAGTATCAGATTTTATTAAAATCACACGAACTTAATCTAAATAAATCATAAAGACCTATAGTATCTATTACTCAAAGTACCAGGGACATACTTACATTTAAAAATATTTTTTTTAAAGTTGCGCAAAGTTGCGCAAGATGGTAACAAATACATGAAGGGTAATGTCCTATCTTTCAAAAAACATCAGCCAATAAATTGGGCAACTTTGGGCACTCAACAAAACTCAAGGTTAAATAGCATATTTAATTTTTTATATTACACTAATTTATTAATTAATTTAGTATGCATCAGTGAAAAAGTTTTTTTTTTCAAAATATAGCTAGAAATAGTCAAGTAGTATTGTATTTTTATAAAAAATGCAAAAAATTAATTGTATTTAAAAATTAACCAAGAAATTTTACTTATTATTCGGGCCCTACAAATTGCAATTATTATACACGGTAGAACTAAACCTTCGACATTACAGCCCTTCACTGGTTACAGATCTGCATCCAAAAATTTTTTCTGTGCATAATATAATATTTAGGTCTTTTCTGTATTCTATGGTCATCAAAACTTTTTGAAAAATCAACTTCTGTTTTATAAGGTTCTGGCCGCAAAAATGGCAATCGGCCCCACTGTGCGGCGTCACATTTCACAGGTAACAAATAGCGCGCAGGTCCGTAATGACCGAATTAACGAATGCACATTAGTTAGTATTTTATGTCACTTTTATGCCTATTTTAAGTTTGGTGTAGTAATGCCACGTAATTTGCTCATTGCGATACACACAATTAATATTACACAATGAGTTTACATTAGCTCAAGGCAAATTTTAATCATTATTTGTTTTTGTTATTTGAAGTTTTATTTAATAATCAGGTCCTGTCCAAAGGGTACACTTTTGGCCCCGCCCAAACAACGAAGTGAGACTGTTTTTATCCTACAGAAATACGTGTAATAGCATCGCCCCTCTCTTATTCCTCCATGGCACAAAGCCTATACCTCAATCATGGCCACTGCCTACAAGATTTGCATATTAAAAAGTAACCATAAAAAATCGACAGCTAGAAATAGGAGTCTGTAGAGTTTATAGAGTACAGAAGTAAACAAACATTTTATGGACATGAAGCAATTCAACACCTACGCACATATGTCAAATTACGATGTACCTATTGATATTTGCAGTTGTAAACACGTTGGAATATATTTTCAAATTTATTCTTGGATGTAGCACAGCATAAACAACTATGATGTACTAGTTTCATTCAATATATAGGGTGGTTCGAATTGTATTACGGAAACTTCGGCAGCTTATTCTGCAGATAACAATAAGTAAAAAAGTTCGTATATGTCCTAAAATGCTTATTTTCATAGTCAGAGGGTGCAGAAGTTTACTTTTTGATTTAGATTTTTTCCAAATAATTTCTGAAGTAACATCAATATGTGGATGAAAATAGGTGTCTGTGAGTTTTTTGACTGTTTTTTGATTTGATTTTGGTGTCAATATGTCTTCTATATGAAAGGGGCCTCACCTACATGCGTTTTAACTGCTTTGAAGAGTAATAACTTTTCGTCCGTACCTGTATAAAACTACTGAGTGAAAAAAGAAATATCTCTCCAGATATGTAGAATGTAAATAGACAATAAGTAGTAGACATAGTAATAGACAATAGGTAGTATACATAGTAATAGACAATAGGTACGTGTCATTATTGACAAAAAATAAAAAACGCCGAGTAGATAGTTATTTGACTGAAATAATAAATTTGTTTTTTTCTTTGATTTTTCTCGGTCGTAAGTTCTGACAAACTTTTTCGAGTGTCTTAAACCGTTGTAGGACACCCACTCCAGGTTACGGGTGGAGTTTTCCAGGTTCTTCAGTTCTGCTTTAAGTTGGTTTCCACTTGGGAAGCAGAACGGTTCTGGTCCAGTTAGTGGAGTGTTCGCTGCTTTTCTAGCTAGATCATTTGCTTTTTCATTACCTTCTAACCCTTGGTGAGCAGGTACCCAGAGTGGGAATTTATCTTCTTTGCCTAATTTGCTGAGTTTTTTTAGGCATTCTTTGACCAACTTCTAATTGATGCTTACCCACTGAGTTGATCGTTTAGTACTGCTTGAATATCAGATAAGATGGCTATTTCCCGTTTTCGATAGTTCCTATCTAAGATAAATTGTACTCATCTTTCGATATCGTAGATTTTTGCTTGAAGGATGCTGGGGTAGGTACTCATTGGTTCGGAGTATTTAGTTTTCGGCTCAAATCCCTGCCTCTGCTGGCATCAGTATACCATGTTATGGTACAGTCTTTTACAAGCTGAGCAAACGTTTCTTCCTTCCAATTCTTTTTATTACTCAATACTATAGTGAGGTGTTCCTTAAAGTTATAATTTCTTGGTATGTCCGCTGGGAGTTGGAGAAGTGGAATTTTCTTTTTGAGGGTGTTGCAAGCCCCCGACCTGACAATTCTCCCAGTACTGTTTCCGTCAATGACCATTCTAATCATTGTCGCATTGATTAAAATATTTGATATCCATGGAGAAAATCGTAGAAAACTCACCCTGTACACAAGTGCTACTTTTTACATAAAATGTACATCTGTTTGAAGTCTAATTGGCAGAAAACATTTCACCTGGAAAATTTCCATTTTATGAAAGAGGCAAAATATACAGTATCCATTTGAAGGAAAGATAACAATAAAGCGTCGCTCTGGAAATATACATTTCTTGCCTTATATATAAATATTTCCACTCGCCTAATTGTTTATATTGTCCCGTAGCTGTGTGCGCTGTCATCCTCGGAATATGTTTTTGCTGCATAAGAAGATGCTTCAGAAAAAGGAGATCAAAGGACAAAAAGGGAATGAAGGGGGCGGACCTCAAATCGATAAATTTGCTTGGATCCTCCTACAAGGAGCAAGTAAGTGCCGTATATATATAATAAAGAAGGTCATGTCTCGCTGTTATATCAATCATTTCGCTAATAGACTCGTATCCGCGGCTTTCAAAGTGTCGGTTCGTGATTTAACGAGTAGTTGTGATAAATGACTTAAAATTTCACAGTTCGTTTTAATTAAAATACTGGAGACAAGCACTATGTCTAATTTTGACTCACCCTATATACAGGATGCTCGAAAAATTCACGCTCATGGTGGTTCCTCATCAAAAAAAATATAAAAAAGTTCCTATAAAGATATGGCTCTGGAAATTCATAGTTGTAATGATACAGTTTTAAAACCTTAAAAAAATCATTGAAACATTTTTTTTGTAGTTACCTTAAATACCATTATTTTTTAAATTTGCTACAGAGCAGGGAACAGCAATGTTATAAATTGTAACTTGTTATCAAGTATTTAGATAGCTTACTCAAGTTGCAAATGGAATTGAAATTTATTTTTTTAGTTTTTTTTTAATAAAGTCCAAAGACTTGCAACGGCTCGGTTTTATTTTTGGATTTTAATAGGAAATAAAATTGTAAGAAATGGTAGTGGGGTACATTTTTCCCAATTCCTTTCGAAAGTGGACCTGTTAAACGCAACTAAAGTTAATAATTTTAATTTAGATAAGCCTAAATTAAGCCAATACCATAAAAATTAAATCTACATACAAATCTAAAAGTGTGCAAATAAAGAATGTATAACCTTGAGACTCTCTTCAATGTCATATGGGAAAGCGGAGAGGTATCTCAAGATTTTCGCAACGCGAACATAGTGAATATATATTTAAGAACAAAGAACGAAGGAAGTGCATCAGATGGAAGAAACTACCGGGGAATTTCACTACTGGCTATCGGAAGAAAAGTTAGTTAGCGGAATTCAATTACCTCGGCAGCTTGATGTCGGAAACGGCCAATATCGACTGTGAAATTCAGAACAGTATAGCATTCTGATAATTAAAAGACTTTTATCACACTTACTGCAACAGAGACAGCATAGACAACTGTAAAAAATCAAATGGTATGTATGAAACCTATACGGTCCTTGAAAAAGCTATGCGAGATAGCTGAAGTCATGATTACCAAATCCCGCTTAAGATGAGATGGTCATGTATATAGGATAGAAGAAAACCGCCTACCAAAATCTCTTTGCGGTGAGCTTGCAGACGGTAAGAGGAAACCGGGTAGACAACTCAAAAGGTACAAGGTTATTTTTCATAAAAACTTAAATGGGATAAGCATTAAAATAAAACACTAATACACCTCAATAAACCAAAACATCAGAATCAGTGCGAGGAAGCAGCACACAATAAAACGCAATGGAGAAAAATTGTAAACATACCCATAACAAGGTCAACCAAAACCTAAATAAGCAATAAAGTAATGAGATTCTCGAATGCACGAAGTGCAGAAGAGCGTAAGTAATTATTAAAAATTAAAATGGATGTAAGCAAATAAATAATTATTAAAAATTAAAATGGCTGTAAGTAAATAAATAATTATTAAAAATAACAGTAACAAATTTCAAAAAAGTGGATTATAGGTATTTAAATAATTACAAGATAAACTTATTTTTAATTTTAACACCACACATTTTCGGATCTAGGTTTATAGGTTCCATTTTTTCCACATTTTTTGATGAATTTCTGTTTTGATTTTCCAACGTTCACCAATATTTTTGATGAAGAACCACCACCTGATATTTGGCAACGCATTCGAACAATCTGTATACCTAGATATTTAGCCCATTTTAGTATTTGAGTTAAAACCTAAAAAAGATATCATAAAATAATTTAATTGCAAAATATCTACCCGCAACAATAAAAATCGCAGCAAAAATAAAAATAATTACCTAAGATTCTAACATAGAAAATCTAATATGGAAGTTTTTAGCAGCACTGGTTCTTCATGTAGAGTCTTAAATCATTTGTCGGTAAACTATAAAACTGCGCCACCGTCCAATGAAATAATATAAAATCTGTTATTTTCAGTTGTTTGTTTACTTGCATTACCGCATTAAGTCTCTAATTTTTTCCAGACTAATGGATGAAATCCCATTCGAAAACCTGTTAGCGCGCTTCAGTCCTTTTAATTTAAATTCAGCAGATTTCTAACTTTTGTTATTAGAGCTTTTAATGGATATTTTTAATTGATTTAAACTAAATTGTGATTCAACTGTAATTATTGTATTTTGTTAAATAGAAATTAAAAAATAATTATTTTAAAATTATTTCCTATATTTTACTGCCACATTGAATTCAAAGTAATTTATTTCCTTATAAGGGTATTTTTGTTCTTCGCTTATTATGTGAGGTTTTCAACTAATATACAGGGTGAGTCTTAAATAAGTGAAAATATTTTCAGGGCTCGAACATGGCAGTTAGAAAAAGTTTTTCTGAAGTATAAATGAAAATTTTGAAGAAAATGCACGATTTTAATCATCTTTTTTTGCCTCATAGACCTGTTGCTGGAGTCGAAATATACCACCCATGAAAATATTTGCACTTATTTAAGACTCACCCTATATACACGTTAATAATTTAATTTCATTAGTAGATATGCAAACCGTATATCTATAAAGTGACTTGTGATTAGTACTAGAAATTCCAATAATGTCGTCTTGGCAGATATGAAAAAAAGTTAGATAAATGGTTTATACCGGGTGCGTCTCAAAAGTGGCTCACCCCTATACATTTTTTATTTTTTCAGACCAAACAACGATATTTGGTATGTAAGTATATGACATAAATTTGGATTGATTGACGTATTCAATTCTTTTCTGTCGCGTCAGTTTCACCGGAAATGACTACAACTTTTGATTTTTAAATGGCACCCTCGGTATTTTTTTTACTTTATTCGATAGAAAATGACACTCTGAATCCAATGACATATCATATGTCAACTTTTGACATATGATTTATTTGAAATAAATTGTAACATGCGGTTCATAATGACAATTTGACCAAAATACCAAGTGTGTGGTATCAAATTATTCGTATAAAAAAATGCTTTTTCCAAATATGCTAATGAGCCACCCTTGTTCCATTTGAAAAATTGAGATATGATTAAAAATACGATTTTGGCATTTTTTAACCGGCCAGGACAAGACACTAAAAACATTAGTCGATCAAATCTATTTTTCCAAAGCTCCTTGATTAAAAATTAGTGTTTTTAACACAGCCATAGCACTATAGATTGAAATTTAAAATAGAATTTGTTTTTGAGTGACTACGTTAAAAATTGACATATGATATGTCATTCGATTCAGAGTGTCATTTTCTATCGAATAAAGTAAAAAAATACCGATGGTGCCATTCAAAAATCAACCGGTGAAACCGGAAGTGATCTAAGACAATTGAATACGTCAATCAATCCCAATTTATGTCATATACTAACATACCAAATCTCGTTGTTTTATCTGAAAAAATAAAAAAGTTATAGGGGTGAGCCACTTTTGCGACGCACCCGGTATAAACTATGTCCTAAAAATATTTTGTTGTATATATTAGGCTCAATAGTCGAATTCGGGCAATGCCCGAGAAAAAATCTAGTTTTGAGCAAGGAATATTTCCCAAACCCGAAAAATTAATTATTTTATTCGATTATTTTTTCTTTGCTTATAGTGTGATTTGATTGCATTGGTTTCATTATTTTTGGTTGGATTGGTTTAGTTATTTGGCGAGTTGGTTAGCGTGGTTATTTGGAGGGTGCTAATTCATTGATTAGTTCGTTTTTCGGGTTTGGGAAATATTCCTTGCTCAAAACTAGATTTGCATATTTTTTCGGGCATTGCCCGAATTCGACTATTGAGCGTAATATATTCAATGTGTCAGAAGATAATAATGTAGTTCAAAATTTAGTTTCAATATGCAACTTCAATTTTTTTGTGGAGAATCGAGTCTTTTTCAGCATAAAATTCTGCACTATATTATATGCAGACTATTTTGAAATACTGCTTTATTAGTGGAACGTAACCAAATATGGAAAACCATTTAGTTTTTGTGTCATATAAAAAAAGACAAGAGATGAATTTAACTTTAGTAATACTTAGCTACATTTTATAAAACTCTAAGAGTTGCAGAATAAATTTTTGATGTAAAAGAAATATTATCTTATACAAGGATTTTTTATTGCGCTGCCTACATCGAAATATTTCAAACGCTACCTATATATCTCAATTTTCTATATGGAACTCTATGTATGTTATTTTTCTTTTGGCTGTAGAAATATTTTCGAAGTTAAAATCTTCCTAAATTTTCAGCCCAGATCTCGCAGATATTCGCGATTTACCTACATATTTCTATTCAACAGTAATTATTTATCTAATATATAAGACCCTTAAATATTATTTCCGTGATATTTCACCATTAAAAGAGCTATATGTCATACATCATACATCAAATCAGCAAAATCGTTAAAAATTAAGGAATACTTTAAATGCAAAAAAAATCCGCATGTAAAAGAAAAATAATATGTAGAGTGTAAAATTGAAACAAAATAGACATATTTATTCTGTTATCATTGGGGTATAAGAAAATATGAGCTCAGAGGGTAAAGTTAATTTTATTTCTGAACATACTGTTTCTCAGCAAAGTTTCAGTAAATAGGACTTAAGAACCATTCAACCCAGCAAAGTACCATAAGCAAAATTTTTGAATAAAAATTTCAGAATAAATTCTGAATTCAATTTTGTACAGACATATGAAGGTTGAAATTAAAAAAAAAACTAACAATACTTTTTTGTAACAAAAACACCTTGTATATATTACGCTCAATAGTCGAATTCGAGCAATGCCCGAGAAAAATACGCAAGTCTAGTTTTGAGCAAGGAATATTTCCCAAACCCGAAAAATTAATTTTATTCGATTTTTTTTTGCTTATAGTGTGATTTGATTGCATTGGTTTCACTCTTTTTGGTTGGATTGGTTTAGTTATTTGGCGAGTTTGTTAATTGGTTAGATGGTTTTTCGGGTTTGGGAAATAATCCTTGCTCAAAACTAGATTTGCGTTTTTTTTTCGGGCATTGCCCGAATTCGACTATTGAGCATAACATATACAACAAAATATTTTCAGGATGTACGCCTTTACGAACCATGCTTCATTATACAGGGGATTCTGAAATAAGTGCAAATATTTTTATGGGTAATATATTTCCACGCCAGACGATTTTTCAAAAAATTTGAAAATTTGGAATTCTTTGTCCTTTTTTAAGTTTTTATTTAAAAAAAAATACATCTTTATAATATGGCTACATATGGGTAATGGATTAAATTTACAAGAAAGAAAACCCAGAAAAGATCAAGTTGTTAGATCAATCTAAAAATTTAAGTATAAAATATATATTTTTTTTTTAATTTTCAAAGTAAAATAACTCAGTTATTTTGGACTTACAAAAAAATTATAAAGGAAAAATATGTTTCTATTATCGAGATGTACCAGCTCTGAAAATATTTGCACTTACTTAACACTCATTGTGTATAAATATTTTTTTTCATATCTTCATCTACAACGACGATAAAACATTGAACATGAAAAAATTCCACTATTTACTTTTTATTAGATGTTATAAATTAACTCAAATTATTGGAACTGTTTAGGTCCAACCGGATATGGATGAATTGACAGCTAACGCTGAAGAGCCCGATGAAGGTGAAAAGCCTGAGGTTCAGAAACTCGGAAAATTGCAATTTAAGGTACAAAAACAAGAATAATGGAATTGACCAGTGTGTTTTCTATATTTATATGTTTTGTATTTTTTTTTTATTTTTAATATTAAATGTTTTATTTTTGCTTTGTGTTTGTTTTGCTTTTGTTCTAGATAAAGAAAAGATTTCTATTTCTTTGAATTAGGTACTGATTTTTTTATAAATCCATCATTTTTGTATTTTGTAATGTTTTGGATATAGTTTTAGGGTAAATGAATATTTTTAAGTAAAGAAATTATATTTTCATACTTCAATTCCTGAACAATTTGATAAAATATAATTTGTAAAAGTACTTAAAGGTGTTTTAAATTATGTACAGGGTGGGCCAAGTTGGGCACTTTTAAAGGGAAACACCTTTTTTAAAGGAGATAGACGAAAACTAATATCAGTGTCTGAAGCTCATTTCAAACAAACTTTTCCATGGCAAAAAAATAGTTACAGCGATTTGTAAAAAATGCACATAACCATGAACCTCTCAACAGATAATCCATGTGCGGTTTTTACCATCATATTCTTGGTAAAAAATGAACTCCGGACACCGATGTTAGTTTTCGTCTATCTCCTATAGAAAAGGGTGTTTACCTTTAAAGTTGTCCAATTTGGCCCACCCTCTACAGGGTGTCCAACATTTGAGCCTTATCAATGGGATCTTGGAAACTAGAAGAGTCAATTACTACAATGCGAGTTAAATAGAGGCAAAATTGAGTAATTTGATTTTGATTAAAATACCGCTTTAAAAGTTTAAAAATTCCGCATACTTCTGAAGATATTTGAAAAAAAAAACGAATATTGGCGATTTCATTTTTATTTTTAATGACTATTTGTCTATATTTATATTTTTTTATATGTAACATTCTTATTGCCAATTTTTTGTTCTACAAGATTGTGTTTTCAGAATTTTAAACAGACGTTTTGTGTCTGAGATGCCATCATCAACTTTCTTTTTTAATTGGCCCTGGCTGTTTCATTAATAAACTGTTTCAAAACTAATAATGTCTGGCCCTTATTCAAAAAATGCTTAATAAAGATTTCCTGATAATATTTTTCTAAAAATATATTTTTAGTCTCTCTCACAATACATGAATTCCTATGGAAAATGTCACTAATATGATTTTTTCTTTCGAATACGTGAGATAAATCATTAGTTTTTGAACTTTACACGCTCTTAAAATATACAGTATGTCCCCGAATTGTCTTTACACAAGGAATACGTTTTTTATTATTGACATTTTGAGATAAATGTATTCTTCATAAAATTTTTTGCTTATTCTAAAATGGTTAATCAGGTTTATACATTTCGAAATTTCCATACCGTTTTAGAGAAAATTAGGAAAAACATGAAAAGATACCTAATTGAAGTCTTAAAAACTAAATGCGTTTCTATAGAAATATCAATCCGAATTCATTCTTTGATAGATTATATTGATAGAATTTTAATTAACATCATATTTTATGCAGTTCGAAAGTGTAAAAGAAGCACAAAATTTATTTAGTTCAAAGCTACGGAAAGGGTGATAATAGTTATCGGAAAATTAAATAGTTTAACATCAACGAAAATATGACAATCAAAATTAATGAGAACCATGTATCAAAGAATTAAATCGAAATGATATTGCTGTTTTCAAATTATATTGTCTTTTGATTTTTAGGACTTCAAAAAATTCAACCATATTTTTCATGTTTTTTTTAAACTTCCTATAAAACGGTATGGAGATTTGGAACAGTATAAGCGGGATTAACTATTTTAGAACAAGTAAACATTTTTATGAAGAACGCATTCTCCTCTAATGTTAATAATAAAAAAGTGTTTCCTCTTGTAACGACAATCCGGGGACATACTGTATAATAAAAATCCAGTGTCGTATTTAAAAAAATTGATGGCATCTCAAAGACAAAACGAAGGTTTAAAGATCTAAAAACACCATCTTGTAAATATTCGGAATCTTAAAACTTTTAGGGTGACATTTTAATCAGCCCCAAGTTGAGCAATTCTGCCTCCATTTAACTGGACATTATATCTTTTATAATAGTTCCAGTGATCCCAATGATAGAGCTCGAATTTGGGATACCCTCTGCAGTGTATGAACAATAAGTTTCTCAATGAATGAATTATTAAAATACACTTTAATTCTAAGAGTAGGTAAAAACATTGGATAAATTGTTAATTATCAAAGCACTTGTATATACTGGGTGTTTCTTAAAACTGGCTCGCCCTTATAACTTCTTTATTTTTTCAGATAAAAAACGATATTTAGTATGATGGCATATGACATAAATTAAGATAGATCGACGTATTCAGTTGTTTTCGATCACTTTCTACTTTGCCAGAAGGGACAATAACTTTTGATTTTTAATTTATTTTATAGAAAGTGACACTGAATAAAATGACATATATCACATGTCAACTTCTGATATTTTCGATTACAAAAATTACTGTATTTTAAATTTCAATCTAGAGTACCATAGCTGTGTTAAAAACACTAATTTGTAATCAAGGAGCCTCGGAAAAATAGATTTGATCGTCTAATATTTTTCGTGTGTTGTCCTGGCCGGTTAACAACTGCCAAAATCGTATTTTTAATCATATCTCAGTTTTTTCAAATGGAACAAGAGTGACTCATTAGCATATTTATAAAAAGCATTTTTTACCAATAACTTTTGGTACCACACACTTGCTACTTCGAGTCAAATTATCGTTATGAACCGCATATGTTACAAATTCAAATAAACCATATGCGGAAATGTCAAAAGTTGACATATGTCATTCTATTCAGAGTGTCATTTTATATTGAATAGATTAATCGAGGGTGTCATTTAAAAATCAAAATTTGTGCCCATTTCCGGTGAAACAGGAAGTGACCAAAAACAATTGAATACGTCAATCAATCCTGATTTATGTCATATACTAACGTACCAAAAATCGTTTTTTTATCTAAAAAATTAAACGAGTTATAGGGGTGGACCACTTTTGAAAAACACACGGTATTTCTTCAATATGTACTATCTAGAATATTTTTACAAAAATGAAACTGATAGTAAATATTCATATTTTTTAAATTCTCCAAAACTGTTCTGGATTAGTTTTATTATCAAATATCATTAATTATTAATTATAATATGATAATTTAAGTACTTCATACATAATATAATAGAAATATTGATATTTAAAACAAAAACTGAATTTTTCTTCGTAGCTGGAATACGATTTCAATCAAAACAGTCTATCCGTGACCGTAATTCAAGCAGAAGATCTACCGGCGCTGGACATGGGCGGCACATCTGATCCATACGTGAAAGTGTATCTTTTACCTGACAAGAAGAAAAAGTTCGAAACCAAAGTGCACAGGAAGACATTGAACCCCGTATTTAACGAGACGTTTGTATTTAAGGTAAAACCAACAAATTGTTCATTATCAAGTCAATTATCATAATCGCCAATACATCATTAATTACCATTCTATTTACGTTTAAACCATCTTAATGGATTTTTTTTAATTCTCACTTCTTTGTCATTCTTGACTTATTTTAATATGTATCATTAAAACCGAAATTCATTTTCATAAACTTTTCTGAACTGGGCACTAGATATAATAGCGACCAGCAATGACTGAAATAGTTGGCAATACAGTGTTAAAGAATTTTAGAAATAGTGATTATGACTGATACTAAAATATCTTATCGACCGAAAATTTTTAGAAAAGTCTAATTTTTTTCTTTTCTTTATCTTCCCAAACGTTTTCAAGTTCTGACTTTGTTGTATGTAAAATCGACATTATTTTTAATGTAAAAAAATCCTATTTTTCAATACGAGTGTAGTGTAAAGCTTGATTTTCATGCATCCGTTATCCAACGATAGGATGATACGATATTAATTTTATTGGTTGAATTTAAAGACTTTGATTGGTTAGAAACGGTTAACCAATTGAAGCCTTTAAATACAACCAATGAAATTAATATCGTATCAACGTATCGTCGGACAACGGATGCATGAAAATCAAGCTTTAAACGTAGAACAACAGCACAACAGAGTTTGAAAACGGTCACCACTCTATCCACTCGCATCTTCTAATGTCGCTTAACTTCGGTGATTTATAGGGAACCTGTGTTTCGAAGTAGTTTTTCATTATCAAAATTGATTACCAGGATTTCTTAATTTTATTGCTAGATCGGTATAATATGAGTGTTTTTCATTTTATTTTGTATTTATTTAGAATATTCCATACGCCGAAGCCATGAACAAGACCCTGGTGTTCGCCATATTCGATTTTGATCGTTTCTCCAAGCACGACCAAATCGGTGAGGTCAAGGTACCACTGTGTCAAATTGATCTGGCCCAAACCATCGAGGAATGGCGCGAACTACAGAGTGTTGAAGGAGAGGGAGGCCAGGTGATATCATTTTGCTCTATTTACGAGTTTGGAGTTAATAGATTTATTTTTAATATTTCCAAACAAACCCTGCTCTTATTGACGAAGATACCTTCCATATAGGGGGTTCAGTGTGATGGTAAGTTAGACGTTTATAAAGAACCGGCGATTGATTTTTTTTTTTTGGAAAATTTGTATTTTTACATAAATGCAACTGCTCCATCTATCTAAATTAGTTTTACTGTTACAGTATTGTCGCTTTATTTGAAAATTAGTAGCATCTCGGTTATTTTTAATGGAACACCCGGTATATTATTACCAAACGACTTTCATATCTCATAATTTTTCTATTGTGCTATCCTATATTGTATACCTATTAATATAATATAACAGTTTTCAAGATAAAAAATAAAACACGTGCATAATTTAAAAAATGGTCTTAAATAAGCATTCGCAAAATCATAAATGAGCATATTTAAAGTTGAAATTTAGGTTATAAGTTAAGGATAGTCGATATTATAATCGATCTGTTTAAAATGACGTATTGGATATCACACAGGTATATTTTTTTTCTATTTGTTATAAAATTGCTCAAATCTTGTTTATTTCAAATTCATCTAGGGATGAATTAAGAACGGAAGAACCTATGGTTAATGTCATCATCATCATACTCAGCTTATTCAACCATTTTCAATTAGGGTGTAGTCTCCCTTACATGTTTAAATACTCTCTTTGTAGTTGGGCGCACTGTTGTCTATGGCTATGCGGGTCCAAGTCTTCCTCTAGGTTTCTAAATTTCACGTGGGTACCATACTGTAATTTTTGTGGTCCATCTGTAGTCTGTTCTTCTTGTTAGGTGTCCTGCCCATTGCCATTTGAAGGATTTGACTCTGTGGATGACATCTATTACCTGGGTCTTTTGTCGTATCCACTCTATTCATTTGCGGTGTATAACTGGTTACTCCCAGCACATTTCGTCCTATTGAGCGTTGTGCGACCTGCAGTTTCCCAGCCTTATGATATCCGTTTTAAGTGTCCAGGTTTCGCATGCATAGGTCAAGACTGATAGAGTCCACATTCGGTCGAATGTTTTCTTCTTTAGATAAAGTGGCATTCTGAATTTGAATATGTTTGAATTTCTCTCATAACTACTTGATGCTAACTTAATTCTTATGTTGACCCTATGTATATTATTAATAAATTGAAACACGAATAATATTCATTTTCAACGATATACCATGTTCATCGAAGGGTGGCTCACTGTTGGAATTCTCTCTCTATCTCTCTGTCTTTATTCCTACAAGAGGAATGTACTAGAGGAAATGTACTAGAGGAATGTATTCCTACAAGAGGAATGTGCCCTGTATAATGAGTTTTTCCATACAGTCAGTACCCCTCCTCATAACGTGACCGAAATGTTTAAGTATACGTGACTGTATAGAAGTTGAGAGGCGTTCTGTGATGTTCAGTTCTTGGATTACGGATTCATTGGTTCGCCGGGCAGTCCAGGGAATTCTGAGCATTCGTCGCCAACAGTACATCTCAGTTGCGTCAATTTTTTTCATTTCTGACTGACTCTCTGACTGTGTTCCTTAATGTCATGCTAATATTTAAGGGCGTGATTCTTGGACCTATTCTAAGAGTAAAACTTCATGTGAATATATGTCCTAAACATTTTAATTTCTGAGATACGGGGTGGTAAATGTTTCTAAAAAAAAACTTTTTTTCATAATAACTCTGGTTTTATCATTGATATCTTTATGAAACTTTATACACGTCTTCATACGAATTTCATTTATTTCTACCAGTGCCGTCCATACGGATTTTACATTGAATATTTTTGGCGAAAAAAGTGGTACACCACTGACTTTTCTTAAAATAAAAATTATTTTCCAAATCTCCATTCATTTCTGAACATTTTTATCTCTCCATTTTTTTCGTCTGGCGCATAGCTTTTGTTTAAAAAAAAATAAGTCAGTTTATTCCAGGGTCAGATCGTTAAAAATATGATGCGGTGACTTATTGTGTGGAAATAATTTCTGCATCAGCTGGAAGGAAATTAAGAAATATTTTTTTTGTGTATGAAAATAAGCGTTTTGATGCATGGAAGACGTTTATCAAATATATGTTCTTTATTGGACTTTATATTCAAATAAATATTTTTGTAATCACTTTGTGGCAAGTTAGTTAACTAGAATATCTGGTTATAGTTTTACTAAAATAGCGAACTTTAGAAAACAAAATATTTCTTTTTATAAAATGTCAATGACATATGTAGATATTAAGAAGCCCACAAGAAAACTTTTTGAATACATATATACAGGGTGATTCCTGTAAATCGGTCATGCTTTCGGGGAATGTTAGGGGACGTCGAAATATTAATTTTGATATAGCACACTATGGATTGGAAATGCCTCTTACGCAAGATACAGTGTTAAAGTAGTGTTAAAGTTTTTGAAAAATTAATGATATTCTTTAATAGTTTTTTAACAGTTGAAGGTATCGTTATAAAATTTTATTATAGGAGTCTACCTAACAGAGACACTTTAAATGTAAAAGAAGAGGTTTTAGTTTCAACCAGTGGCGCAGATGTGGTATGAATCGAGTAATTTAAAAAAAAATGTACGCCACTGATAAAAATAAAATTTTATAGATATATAAATCTAACATATATATAGAGTTTTTTTATTTAGTCCGTTTATTCCCTAGAAAAAATGTATCTTGCAACTTTCTCCTATCTAACACCATTTTGTCAAAATTTAAAAATAAATAATTTTTTTAATAAGAACCTTAAATACAACGAATTTTTATAACTAAAGGGCAGAAACACATATGCATCGTTAGCTCCCTTCATCACTTAACATATGAATTTAAATAGGCCAAGGTTAGAGCTACATACCTTGGGTAACTTTTTTAGTATTTTTTACTATTAACTCCTTAAATTTTTTTAAAAAATTATAAATTTAAACTACATGTTTTTTATTGTTAATAATAAAATTCTTAGTTTTAAGGTAGTTATAATAATTCACATATTTATGGTTCTCATTAAAATATTATTAAAATAAAATATTATTTATTTTTAAATTTTGACAAAATGGTGTTAGATAGGAGAAAGTTACAAGAGACATTTTTTCTTAGAAATAAACTGAGGAAATAAAAAAAATCGAAATTTTTATTTTTTATCAGAGGCGTACTTTTTTTCAAAAAAATTGCCGATGCGTATCACATATACGCCACTGGTTGAAACTAAACCTTTTTTTTACATTTAAAGTGTCTCTGATAGGTAGACTCCTATAATAAAATTTTATAACGATACTTAACACCCTGTATCTTGCGTAAGAGCCATTTCCGAGCCATAGTGTGTACATCAAAAATAATATTTCGACGTCCCTTGTCATTCCCCGAAAGCATGACCAATTTACAGGAATAACCCTGTATATGCTGGAAATACATATAGGTATACATTATATTTCCAGTCCCGGCTTCGTTTTTTCGTCGTCGCTTAACCTTTTAACTATTTTTTTATTTATATTCTTTTACTATCAATATGTTTTGCCGGTTTTTCTATTCCTTCATTTTTAAAGCAAACATTAGTTTCGCTTTTACCTTTAGAAATAAACATACCTTGAGACACATTTTATAAAAAATTGGTCAAGTGCGAGTCGGACTCGCGCACGGAGGGTTCCGTACCATTCGTTATCTATACAACATTAGACACTATATTATTATAAACTTTTTTTCCGATTTAGCTGAAATTTTGAATGCGCGTATAAGTAATTTTAAAAAAAATGAAGAAACACGTTACTAAAAATTGTATTAGTCAATAATAAATATGTAAAAAGTAAAAATAAATATGTAAAAATTAAAAAAAAAACGATTAAAAAAAGTCGCCTTGACTAGGATTCGAACCTGTCAAATTACTACGGCTCCAACGTCATAGCAGCGTAAAGTCCTAAGGCTTTAACCAGGCGGCCACCGAGGACTTGAAAGATTCTACGTATAATTCTTACTTGAAAGATAATGGTTAGTGAAAGTACTTTTTTATTTATAAACATTTATTTAATTCTGTTTTTAATATTTGTTCTTTTATATAACGGCAACATAGATACATTATCTGTAAAAATTTCGTCTAGCTATAACGGGTCATAAGATAGAGCTTTGTGACAGACGGACGGATGGACAGCAAAGTTTTAGTAATAGGGTTCCCGTTTTTACCCTTTGGGTACGGAACCCTAAAAAATGGAAATAAATATAATTCTTTTATCTCTCTGTCTCATATCCAATCCATTGATTTAGATAGGTCGAATATATCTATTTTCCTTCACCTATAAACCAAATTGCAGCTTTCAATCTGCTGTATTAATGATTTAACCTACTAATACAAGCTAAATACAAGGTTACGTTCTTGTAAATTTTATAAATATTTTTTTTCTGAAGAATTATGACAGATAGGTATCGTTTTTTTTCTAAAGAAAAATTATGGGAAATGGAGGTAGTTCCGAAAAATCTAGTACCGCACCATTTAAAATAACAAAGATGCTACTATTTGTAATATGAAGCCGCAACACTGTAACGCTGAAAACAATTTAGATAGATTGAGCCCAGGTGTCTTTATACAAAAATTGAGATTTTCAAAAGAATCCCATAAACATCTAATCTACCATAACCGCGAATCACTCTGTATAGTATCTTTATATTACAAGCATTGTTCTGAACTATTTTTCATTTGGAACATTTACTGCTAATAAGGATCTTATTGCTTATTATGGAGCAAACGATGGGTGTATATTTTTCAATAGAGTTTAACTGAAGCAAAGTGCTCTAAATTTTAAGCTAACACCCAGTTCGGACCAAAAATTTAAATATTTCCGCACATATTTTGAAAAAAGCACTCCTACAATATGCGCTTTACAAATACTTTCTCTACAATTAATTCTTCTATAGACGGAAGAACCTAAAGCTTTTCAGAGTAACTTTATACTATTTATAATTTTGTAAAAATCATAATAGTTAAACTCGAA